TTTGGAAGTTTGACGGGCAAATTTGAAATTCAAACTCATCAACGCGCATCATATAATTTTATGGAGTATAGATATTACATTTTGGAAGGTATAGATTTATACCTGTGTGCAAACGTCGGGGGATCACTGTACACCGCTCCCGTCTGCTTTCTCCTTTGTCCTATGCAGCCCCTCGCACTTCAACTCTAGCACTTGTCACATTGTGGGTCATACAATTGCTCACCATATATGTCAAAATTGGTTTATTCGTATGTTTGGAAGCAATTCTTCGCTCAAAATTTGTCACCTTGTCAAAATCCTTGGTGAGTTGATGTCTATGTGCTTCTTGGTGAGGACCGAACGGCACAGGGTCACACACAGCCCACGCAACCGGACAGGTGCGGCATAAAATCTCCAAGTCCGCCCCACCGGTGCACCCACATCGGCAGCACATCCCTCCACCGACGCCGCCCACCCACCCACGGCGCACCCTCAGCAACGGAATTCTCGCACGCTCTTGCGACACGAACACGCAGAGCAGCCTCGGCGCCAGCCCTCGCCCTTCCTTATCCACCTCGGCCGAGCGTGTCCCTTGCTCCAACCGTCTCGACTAGGTATGTTCGATGCTCGGTCCTTGGTTTACGGCTCGGTTGACGTGTGCTTGGGGCAGAGTGCCATTTGCGGACATCTCGGCACGTTGTCGAGAATAAAAGTATGATTGGTCGAACCAGTGCGACGACACCCATACAAAAAACAAGTGAACTAGCTATCGGAATTTGCTATTTAATAAAAATGAACAGTATCTCTTACACAATGTATAGTATATAGAGGGCACTGTCGATTCCAAATGGCGAATAATTTTAGTATTAAAACTCCCGAATGCCCGAAAAGTCTCAACATGCAAGTTCAACATCCGCCCCAGCCCCCGAGGACAACACCACCATCGAGGCAGCCATGAAGCGACGACCGAGCCGACGAAACACCGCCACCCGCTATATGCCGACCGACGCCGAGGAACGCGACCACACTCACCAAGTCCTCATGTATGACACCCCGTCAACCAAAGATGCGAAAGCAGCTAAAGGAATCCCGGCCGTGCACTCGTCGCAGGGCCACCTCGACATGAACAACTCGTTCATGACGTTTCGCCACAAAGCATCGATCTCAGCGCTTGCGTTGCTGCGCAACCCCCAGCGACTCTGCGCAGGCACCCAAGACAACCTGATTGTGATCTGGGAACTCGACGAGTTTTCCCCCGCGTTCTCGTTAGAAGGACACAGCCGGTCGATCATTGCGCTCGAAGTCGTGCCCGACTCACAAACACTCATCTCGAGCTCGGCCGACCAGAGTCTCCGCGTCTGGGATGGCAAGCACGAGTTTCAATGTGTCCAGGTCATCAACGGGTTCAACGGGCACATTCTAAGCCTTATAGCCACAACCGACACGCTCTTTATGGCGAGCCAAGACACATACGTGAAGATGGCATCGATCGTGTCGCCGACCACGCCGCATCCACAGCACACTGGACACAGCGCCGCGTCGCACGTGCTGGCCCCCCTCGACCAGTGGACCCTCGTCCCAAACCACCACGGCTACTTGTACGGCATCCATCTGTACGATGACAAGTCGCACCGAAAACTGCTCTTCAGTTGTTCCAGCGACTCCACCATCGCAGTACGCCCAATATATTCCCCTCCCTCCAATTCTGACGAGTACGAACAGTGCTGGGAACTGCCAAGCATGGCATACCTGACGTCGCTGCACGGACATCGGGGCAGCGTCCTCGACATCGTGTCGGTTGGCCACAATCTGTTTTCTGGTACGAGTCGGGATCTCTTTCCCTCCGTTGGTGCTGTTCGTTGGGGTATCTAACCCGTCGTGGTACCTGCAGCTTCACAAGACAAGACGATTTGCTGTTGGGACATCGAGAGCATGCGCTGCAACGGCGTCCTGAAGGGCCACACAGCCGCTGTCCTGAGCATATGCTCCCTCGAAGACAAGAATCGAATCTGTTCGGGGTCTGCGGACGACACCGTCCGCATCTGGAACACGCAGTCGCTGGCGTGCGTGCACACGTTGCACGGCCACCATGGCGGCATCAGCGGCATCTTGAGCACGGAAATGTTTGTGTTCAGCGCTTCCGACGACAGCACAGTCCGTGTGTGGGATATTGACTTTATCTCCAACTTGACGAGCACAAACTCGACCGTAAATGGCCCGCACCACGACACCGCCAGCCACAAATTCAAGTTGGACGCCACACTCCTCGCCACGTCCAACAAGCAAACGTCGGACGCATCCATGATTCACTTGCTGCGCAAATTCGTGGCCATTCAAACCGTCAGCGTCGACCCGACCATGGTCGACGAGTGCTGGCTCGGAGCCAAGTTCCTCAAGGTTCGTTGTCGCCTTGGTCAAGTTGTGTGGCCCATCGGACTGTGTAGAACCTGCTGAGGCAACTCGGCGCCGACTGCCGCGTCGTGCACTGTGGCCCTGGCATCAATCCGATCGTGATTGGGAAGCTCATCCACGACCCCACCAAGCCCACCGTCCTCATCTGCGGCCACTAGTACGGCATTTTCCCTGCTGGTTCCTGGCGTCGACGATCGTGTCGAGTTTAATGGTGCTTTGAACATTAGCGACGTCCAACCGGCGGCGCGAGAAGATGGCTGGGACACGAATCCGTTTCTCTTGACCGGGCAAAACGGGTACTTGTACGGTCGCGGGACAACGGACGATAAAGGCCCGATCATCGCGACGCTGTTTGCGATTCGCGAGCTGCTGTCGTCGTCGGAAGGGATGGCGGTGTCCTTGCCGAACTTTATGTTTTTGTACCAAGGCGAAGGCGAGAACCAAGCGCAGGGGTTCAAAGAAGCCGTGGAAGATCATTTGAGCTACTTTTCCCCTGTGGACCTCATCTTTATTTCCAACAACTACTGGCTCGGCGACCACACGCCGTGCCTCACATACGGCATGCGCGGGTGCTTGGAAATTGAAGTCCAAGTCGATGGCCCGGCTGTCGATGTCCATGCCGGCGTCGACGGCGGCGCGATTCGCCAGCCCATGTTGGACCTTGTCGCCCTGCTCAACGGGATCCTGGATTCTCGCACGGGCCGGTTCACCCATCCGGGGTTCTACGACAACGTTCGACCGGTCACCCCCGACGAAGTTGCCCTCTTGCACCATACGCTGTCCGACTTTGACGTCGATACGTACAAGCAAACCCTCGGCGTGCGCGATCTCCTTCCACCATTCCTTGCCAACGCGACGACGAATTTATCCGTGAACGTCCTGATGAACCGATGGCGATTCCCGTCCGCGTCCGTGTCGGCCATCAAGGGCAGCATCGACAACAGCAGTATCATTCCACGTGCGGCGTGCACCGAGTTGACTCTTCGGACGGTACCGGACCAGAGCCCGGAAGAAATGGAGGCGCTCGTGCTGGCGCACATCCGTGCTCAATTTGATGCGCTCGGATCGAGCAATACGCTGTCACTGCATGTCAAGGCCAACGTCCCATGGTGGCTCGGCGATCTCGACAGCGTGAGTGTCGCCATTCTCTTGAACGCTGTGGAATCGATCTCACCGGTTGTCGCGCTGCAGGGCTACTTCAAGGCGGCGGAACGAGCGCTGGAGAAGCACTGGAAGAAGAAGCCGATGATGGTGCGCGAAGGCGGGTCGTCGCAGATCTCCATGTTGCTCAAGACAACGCTGCAAGCACCCGTCATGCACTTTCCAATGGGCCAAGCGTCCGACCGCGCGCATCTCCAGAACGAGCGAATTCGGCTACGCAACCTCCGAACCGGGAAAGACGCCCTCGTGGATTTCTTTGCCGCAATTGCCACTGACGCCTCCATTGCCAAAACCACTCCGAGTCGGCTGGCACCAGCGGCCGGCCTCTCGCCGTCATTCGAATCGTAATGCAAACCCTATCACTCGTCCGTGTGCTTTTTGTCGCCATCGACTCTGTGATGTTGTTGCTTTCATGGTTGGGATCGGATATTTAGATCTTGGGTGTCCAACGGTGGCTGCGAAAGAGTGGTGGGCAACGCTTCGGCAGAAAGATCGAGGGCGAACAGAACGTTGAACATGCAGTCGCTCGCGTGTGTGTTGAGGAGGGTTTATGCACTGCCGCATGCCTCGAAACCTGGCTCGCTTGGTGTCGACGCAGCATCGGAGGTTGGCAGGGACGTCAACGGCCCTCTTCCAGCGCTTTCGACATTCATCAACGAGAAGAGTCCAACGGTCGCGGCGGCCGTTTCTGCCTTTGTTTCGGTGGACATGTGCATGCATTGCATGTGCCATCTATTTTCAGATCGAAACAGCGATATTGCAAGCGCTCGATGGCCGCGCCGTCGACACAAGAACCGCCGTGGCATCGGATGCTTGCGATGCTAGCGGCGCACACTGCGTCCAGCCTTGTCTTCTGGGCACTGCTCGACCAACTTCCCCGCGACGTGTACTGGTTCTGTCTCGAGGAAATGAACTTGTCCAACAAACTCGCCTTCCTCGGCGTGCTCTTTGCGTTGCCCGTCTTGCTACTGAGTCGGCGCGTGCGACTCGCTGCCGCGCAGTATGGGAGTGTCTTGGACATGGTCGGACTTTTGTGCCTCTTCGTTCGATTCCACCCACACCCCACGCTTCACGTTGTGGTAAGCCCCTCTTCGTCACATGCTCCATCGACTCACGAGTTTACTCCACAGACGTGTTGCCTTGGTCTTGTCGCCGTCACTATGGCGAGGTGCTCGCTGTGGTCGTTTGCATTCCAGCTGCATCCCATGTCAGTGGACGGATCGGTGACTGACGCAGCTCTGTCGGTGACCGGCGTCTTGCTGGCTAACTTTGTCACGCTCGCCCTGCGCTGGGGCAACAAATCCCTCAACCCCCTCGTGCCGGGCTTGGCCAGCGCGCTTGTCACTGCTGTCGTGTGCCTGCTGCCCGTAGCCATCGCATGCATATACCTCTACTTTCATCGTCGGCGACATCACGAATTCCTTGGCCCGCCTTCATTCAGCCCAGCACAAATGCCGTGGTGGCAGGCGGCAGCTTCCATGGCAGGCCTCCCACTCGTCGTGTTTGTGACGCAGTGGGTGCTTGGTTCACCGACGTCGATAGCACGATGGCTTGGAGTGTCGACAGACTGGAGGTTTGCACGATGCACCACATATGCAATCTCTATGACATCCTCGTTGTAGCTGGGCGATTCTTTTGGTATTTTTGGGAGGCACTGTCGTTGCACAGGTAACTTGGCTGCTGCTGCTGCTACTGCACAGCGCTGCAGAACCTTGTGGCCTCGTGAACGAGCAGATTGCTGACGAATTGCCTGGCCTACAGGTGATCCCTGGTTTTGCAATCGTGGCTTTATGGACCGCCGGTCTCCTCTGCTTTGGCGCTTCGAGCACGGCGGCCCTTCAGCTTGCAGGGGCTGTGTGCATGGCATCGATGCTGCCGTCGCTATGGCTCGGTCTTGTCTCTCCCACGACATACCACTTGCCTGCAATGGGCGCTTCCATCGCGGTCACAAATTTCGTCGTTGTCAACGTCACGTCGGCAAGTCAAGACCCCGCCCACGACATGCCTACGTCGTCGCCCCACCTCCGCGGCGATTCGCAAGGGCACATGCCAAAGCTGAGCCTGCCATCGTCCGTAGTGTCCTCGGGTCTTTGCTTCACATCGTGCCTTGGAACGATGGTGTACATATTGCTGACCGCACTTACCATCATCCTGACTTGCTACGACTACCTGACCGACGAATTGCGATCCCTGCGAGGCCAGCGGTACCAAATTCTCGTCGGAGCCGGTCTTGTGCTGAGTATATCGAATGCATTGATGGTTCTTCGGTCGCGAACGCAGCGCCGGTGTCGGCTTGTCACGTGGAATACCATGTGCGGACTGCGAGCGGTGGTGGCGGGAGCGCTTCTAGTCGGGGTGCTTGGCCCCGTCGCCATCGTTCGACTGGCCTTCAACCACAGCCCGGTAAACGATATCGTTTCTGCAGAGCCAAGCTGATACCGCAGTGGCGATTGGTTTTGGTAGGGAGCAGTGTTGCCGCCGATAGCATGGCTCGGGGTGAGGGCCGATCTCCGAGTGTTTAGCTTCAACGTGTATCAAGTACGACGTCCCCAGAGGTCGGTTGATCCAGTCATGCTGTCGAGTTTGTGCTAGGGCTTCAATCGCGCTGGTCTCAACAACTTTGAGCCCATTTTGAATGCCATCAAGGACTACCAGCCAACTATGGTAGCGCTCCAGGTAGTTGGCCCCTCCCGTGTGCAATCATTGAAAGAGTGCAAGTCTGTCGGTGAGAGCATTTTTCCTCATCCCTTGCTCGACAGGAGTCCGACACGATGCAGGCAGGCAGCGGCGCCATCGACATCACGGATTATCTTGGGCAGAACCTTGGCATGTACAGTTATTCACACCCTCGGACGGACCAAGACTCGTTCGGGTGCTCCTTCCTCTCGGTCTTTCCCATTCTCGAGAGCGAAAGCATGGGGGTCATCTTGCCATCGCCGCGCGGAGAAAACGCATGCATGCAGGTCCGTGGTGCATGCAACGAATATTTGGAGGGGCTTCAACCAGTATGGGCGTAGGTCGTGACCATCGAAGTTCATGGGACTCGGGTCATCGTGGTGAACGTTCACCTGGGCAACGATGGCATGGCGGAGAAGCAGACGCAGCTGGATGCAGTTGCGAAAGCGGTCGTGTCGACGGCATCGCCGACAAGCCCGTTGATTCTCGTCGGCGACTTCAACACACGAAAAAACACGGCGCAGTACACTGCGTTTGTCCGAAAGGCCGGCCAGCTGCGCGACGCGGGAACGGCGGCACACTGCCGGCAAACATTCAACGACACGGGCACCCCCATCGAGTACATATTTTACCGAAATGTCACGTGCGTTCAGTTGGACTACCCCCACTCGTATCCCCAAGACGAGACGGCCGACTCATACCCACGCATTGGGCACTTCAACCTGACAAGAAGCTCAGATGGATGACCTTCTAAGGCAGACTAGCATATGTGAAGAATCGATCATGATGTGTTGGCCGATTGCAAACGCAGCAAGGATGAACCTACCTTGGAAAGTCATGAGCGCCTCCGATGGTTCACGTTGTGGGCTGGCCCCAACCTACCGCGCTCGTCACGACTTGATGCTCACGGGAGCTCGAATCTCGTGGTCGAATACGTCAGTCCGTGGTCAGGGTATGCGCGCACGACATCCAAGTGACCCATCCCCGAATTCATAGTTCACCTTGACGAGTTCACGCACATGGGCATGGGATCTCTCTCCTCGCTGGGGCTCATATTCGCAGTCAGTGTTACAAACTTCGCGCAGGGAGTGATGCTGCCTGCCACGCAGCGATGCCATCAGCCAGGGGCTGCATCGGTGGCAAAAGGTCGCCGCCATCTCATATGAAAAGGTTTCGCGGTTACAATTCTATCTTTTTTAGCCAATCCAAGTCGAGAATCGAGCGCTCTTTGGGGCGGCTCACCAGGATGTTCCAGCGCGGCCGCGATGACAAGATCCGCGCCAAGGCTGAGACGGATGGTCCGGTTCTCGACCTCAGCAACGCGTACCTGGGTGACGAAGGGTGTGCGGATGTCGTGCGCATTTTGCGGGAGTATCCTTCAAAACGTCTGCTTGACTTGCGTGGAAACCGCATCCAGGCGGACGGGATCACCATCCTCGCCGCCATGCTCAAGACGACCATGACCATTGAGCACGTGAACCTTGAATGGAACTGCATAGGAGTGTTGGATCATGGGGTTGAATCCCTTGCAAATGCGCTGGCACTCAACACATCCCTCACATCTATCGACTTGCGCAACAACAGCATTGGACCCGACGGCGCTGTCATCTTGGCCCACGCACTCAAGCGCAACAGGACGCTGGAAGAGATGGATCTGCGCTGGAACGAGGTTGGATCGGTCGGCGGTCGCGCATTTCTCGACGTTCTCGAAAATGGGAACCACAGTCTCAAGCGCTTGCAACTAATGGGCAACAACGTTCCCATCGCAACGTCCGACGCCATTGACGACTATTTGAAGCGAAACAACCACCTTGGAAACTTGCAAGATGCGCACGACGACAGTTTGCACGAGTTGCGCGGTCCAGAATGCTCAAACTTGATGGATGCCGCGCGTTGCAGCGACGACGGCCTCGTCCAACCGAGTGACGACAATGCAAAACTCTTGCTAGCTTACTTAGCTGACAAAGACGCGCTCACGAGCCAAATCGACACACTTCAACGTTCCCTGAGGTCGCTGGAAGCCCAAGTGGAAGCCCGGGATGCAACAGCACAGCAACTGGAGCGAGAGTTACAAGTCGCACGCGACGACCGCGAGCGGCACATTCGCCGCGAAGGCCAAGAGCGCGATCGCGCCGACGACATTGCGCGGCTTTTGGACCAATCTGAAGCGCGGCGAAAGCACGAAGCCGACGAGTCCAGCGCACGTATCCAATCGTTGGAAACTGCCATCCTCCAGCTCAAAGAAGCCAAGACCGTCGCCGAGCGCCAGGCTCAGAGAAGTGGTGAAGAACTCGTTCAGGCCAAGGCGCACCATGATCAATCCGTCCGCCTCCTCGAGATGGAAAACGATAAACTGAGAAGTTCCCTGAGCGGCGTGCAAGACGAAGCGGCGAGGCTGCGGGAACAGGTCCACGATGGGCGGAAGGAACTCGATCGCCGCGATGGTATGTGGCGCATCGAGCTGGACGAGACGAAGGCGGCCGCGACTCGTCGGTGCGTGCCTGTGCACATGAGCTTGGTTGTCATGGCGTTGTTGACCACCTAAGCATGTCGTGGATGGATGCAATAGCGCTGAAGTGGCCATTGAAGGGCTCGAACAGCAACTGCGCCATGCCAATGCGCACGCTGACGCGGTCGTGTCCGAGCTCCACAGTCAAAAGAACCTCGTCGAGTCGTTGCAATACCAGGTGCTCCAAATGAAGGTAGCTCATGAGGCTGCCCTCGGTGACGTCAGCAAACGAATGGAGGCGGAGTGCCACGAGCGGCTAGAACGACACATGGCGGAGGTGGAAGGAAGTATGGACGAGTTGCGGCGGCAACGGGCGGCGCTCGAGAAAGACGTCGAGAAGCATCGCATGCACGGCGAGTTGTTGCGCGAGGAAAAAACCCGTCAGCGTAAAGTGTTTGACGAGGAGCTGGTGACCCGCGAGCGACAGTACGACGAGCTCAAGGCGTCCGTCGTCGCTAAGGACGACCGCTTGGCAGCGATCGAAGTCGAGTGCCTCCGCCACACTCGAAACTACGCACAGTCGCAAGACAAGCTGGCAGCACTCGAATCGGAATTCGAAAACACCAACAAGATGCATGCCCACCGCATCGAGAAACTGCAAGCCCTGCTGGCGCAGGAAAAACAGGCGTGCAGCGAAGCTATTGGTGTCGCGAAAGACAAGGAGCGAAGACTCATGGAGCAAGTAGCGACGCTGGAAGGCGTCGTCCAGGATGCTGAGCGCCGCCATGAACAAACTCTGGCCGCTTTCGTCCACGACGTCCGCGAGTACGTCGATCGCTGGAGCGCTCCAAACAGACATGGTCGTCGTCACTGCGACGGCAACGAGAACGTCGACATGATCTAAGTTATTTAATCGTAATAGATGCGATACACTGTCTTGGCGATGAGGACGCTGGCGTCGTAGAACGCCGTCTCAATGGTCAGGTTGCCGCTGATCACGTCGGCCGACAGCATCGCGTCGGGGCCGGCGGCGTCAATCGATTGTTGCCATGTATTGGTCGAATGCGGGATAACAAACCCGAACGAGAACAGCCATTCTAGAGAGAAGGGTGAGGTGGAGTCATGGCCGTGAAGATGCAACCCGACCCTCCAAACACTGGCCATTAAAGAACACGCGCTGCTCCAAGCGAAATGCCTTGATTTCTTCTGTCGAACTGAAGTTAATCTCGCGCGACACAGAGCTACATTGCAGGATTGCTTTCGGAACGACAGCTACAGCGAAAGTCAGACTTGTTCTGGCGCACATGCTGCCACGAATCGAACCTTTCTGCTCGCGCTCGAACATGTCCTTGCCCCATTTCTCTGACTGCCACAGCAGTCGTCCTGTGTCGCCGCAGCGCATGTTCATGTAATTTCTACATGCGTCCATCATCAGCATACAAGAGCATCTACGTTCGTGGGTCGCGTGCCATGGACAACGTACATCTTGAGCCCTTCCGCAATCTTCTTGCCGCGTGGATCGATGGCTTTTTGGATGCGCGCGATGCTTGGCCGTTTCCTAATCTCGTCCCATTCGGACTCGACGTCGAGGTCAAGCTGCTTTTCTTGGGCAAAGTCCGCTTCGTCGAGTTCCTCTTCGTCGTGGCCCGACGACGCAACAGACTTGGACTCGGCGTCGCTGTCGTCCACGTCCTTGTAACCAGGCACTTTCTTGTGCACGTAGCCGTACTTGTCTTCCGCGACGCGCTTGCAGTCTACCCCCTTCCGCTCCATTGCTCGTTCTCGTGTGCTGTCGATCCTGGGATGGAATTACGCAACCGTTCGATTCTCAGCTGGATTATCCGGAAGATATGTTTTATCCGGACACTGTCACACCGAAGCGTCGCGCACTTTTGTTGGCGCAATGGCTGAGCCCAAGACACCCGAGGTCGATGACCTGAAGCGGGAGATGAAGAAGGCGTCGAAGAAGTCGTCTAAGAAAGCGGCATCGCCAGCGCCTGGTGAAAGTGGGCCATCCTTGGCGTCGTCTCCAGCTCCGAATGCCGCTGCCCCGAAGACGTCACCGCCATCGTCTGCAGCGACTCCGCAGAAACCACCTTCTAGCGTGCCAAAAACGCCACCACAAGCGCAGTCGAGCATAAATGACGTGCCAAAGATGAACTTCAACGCAGCCAACTTGGGCACGGCTGCCGAGCCGAAACCAACGGAAGGAGCAAGCGATGACAAACTCAAGAAGAAATCTACCAAGAAGAAAGCTCCAGATGCAACGAGTGCGGAAGCAGCATCCCCACTGAGTGCCGCGACTGCACCGACAATCGGGCCAAAAGTAACAGCTGGAAGTGGTGCGCCGACTGCCGCGTCGTTGCAGTCGTCTACCGCAGGACCAGCGGTATGATGGGCTTTTCGTGATGACAATGCTCGATTGATGCATGTGATTCTTCATAGAGCGCTAAAACGGATGACGAGGAAGAGCGCGCTCGAGCGGCCGCTCGTCGAGAGGCCAAACGACAAAAGCAAAAGGAAGCCGAAGAGGCCAAGAAGCGTAAAGAAGAGATGGAGCGGCAGGCACTCGAGATGGCTCGGCGCGAAGAAGAGGCCAAGCAGCGAGAGCTGCGCAAGACGGAAGCCTTGGCTGCTTTGAATGCAAACGCTGAGGAGTGCCAAGAAGAGGACGATTACGACGAGGATTTTGAGGTAGGGTTTGTCCATCACTCCCTGCTTAAGTACCATGGCAGAACTATGACGACGGCGACTTCGAAGACCCCGGCGAACCCGCTCAAGCCAAGAAATCTACCAAACCTTCGTCGAACCAACAGTCGCTCGCTGAACCTCCGGAAGATCTTGCGACCGTTCAGAAAATTCGTGAAGCGCTTCAAGCCGAAAGCAAACCAACGACGTCGTCGAGCAGTGGCAGTAAGAAGGCCACGTCGGCATCGAAGCCAACCCCCGTCGCCGGTCCGAAGGACGCCAAGGAGGCCAAAGGTTGGAGCGTTTTCATGCAAATTGACAGCGACCAACGGAGGGCGTTGTGTGCAGGGGCGAAGAAGGTGACGAGCGGAGTGTCGGCGTCAATTGCTGGGCTCAAGCAAGCCATTGACCCCCGTGCGAAACGTATCAAGGTGATGGCGCATTTCCCCCCCACTTGGGCTTCCACGAAGCCTCAAACCTTATCGACGATGGGTAGGAAATTTTGGAAAAAAAAAAGATGGAGACGGAACGGTTCGACATGTTTCAGCAAATGCCGCTCACCGACTTGGACAAGTACATGAGCCAGCTCCGCGTGTGCGCGATCCGCCAGGTCTTTGTCCAGACGAATGGCGACGCGCGCAGTATTCAGACCCAGACGAAACCCCGCGAATCAACCGACCATTCGATGCTCTTTCCCGACGACATGGGCGTCGATGGTGCGACCGATGTGGCAGGCAGGAGTTCCCGCCGGTTCATTTCGTTCTTGGCGCGCGCGTCGCATGTACGATTTGTACCATTGACTCGAGAGAGTGGGTGAACTTTGTGCCGCGGTAGGCATGTGAGGTCCTCCTCGAGGAGAACGTCATGCACGCAGACGTAGCCAAGGCGGACAACCAGAGGCAGGACGACAGCTCGATGTCCAATACGGCGTCGTTAGATGGGTTCCGTGCCGAAGAATACTCGATCGACGACTCCCATCCGTTGGTGCAACATCGAATCGTACAAGGTAAAGCGCGCCAGGTTGAACATCGGGTCTTGAGTTGCGCTTGGCAATTCCAGGCTTGGCGTTTTCACCGCAAGTGTCGCATTGGCTCGTGGGAGGCTACGGGCCGCAGGATGACGGCGACAACAATGCAGTCTTTGCGGACAAGTCGATCTTGTGCGTGTGGGACGTCAACCAAATGCACGCCCCCGTGCGGTACGTCCTGCTACTACATCGAACACCAGAGTGAGCTCGTGACCAGGTGGCTGCGGTCCGAAGGAGTCGTAACCTGCGTTGGATTTGGGCCTGGCAGGGATATGTTTGTCCTAAGTGGGTCAGAGGAAGGGGCGGTCCAAGTCTGGGACCTTCGCCTTCCCCCATCGCCCTACTTTGAAGGTACACGATGGACGTGACGAGGTCGAACCCAGCGAAAATGTGCCATGTTAGCCACCGCTATCAAGCTCAAAGTCGAACCCCCGACTTACTCGACAGCAGGCATGAAGCACGACCACAACCATCGATCTCCCATCGTACGTGTCAACCGCACATTCCTCCAGGAGAAGCTGACTGACGTTGTGCAGGCAGCCGTGCACGCGATCCCGTCGTCAAAGAAAGGTACCGTCGACTCTAGACGATGGCCATTTTCCAGTCGAAGTGTCCTGACTTGGACGGGTGCAGGGGCAACCTTTCAATTTGGGTCACTGGATAATCGTGGGTTGCTCGTCATATGGAGCGTCATTGAGTGCCGATCGGACAGCGAGTGGGAGTTTTCCGTCGCAAGAGGTGCATGCGGGCGCCTCACGACTAGTTTGGATCGTGCTAGGGCACTCTCCATCGATAGCTGCGTCGAGATTGGAGGTCGCGTCAAGCTCGTCAAGACTGCCGTCATCGAGACAACGCCGACGGCGCTGTTTGTTGGCCCGTCGGCCAACGACTTTGCGTTTTTCCCTGCCGATCCAAACCAGTACACCGCCGTTCCGACCGACGAGGCACTCCCTTGTGTGCTGTAGATTTGTGGTCGGGACGGCAGCCGGCACGATCGCTCATGGCAGTCGCTTTGATACCAAGCTCGGGGTCAAAGCATACCTTCGTGGCGGTGGGATTGCCGCGTCCGCAGTGACGTCCCTGGCATTCCATCCCACCTTGCCGTCGTACTTTCTCGCGGGTTACGCTGACGGCAGCATCAGGTACTCTGTCGTAGCGCGAACTCGGTGCTCTGACACGGAAGCAGTTTGTTTCACGTGGATTTGGCCCGCGACATCGCAACGTGGTTGGATGGCACGGTCGGCGTGTCGCGGGTGCTTTGGTCGCCATCTCGACCCGGCGTGTTTTACGTCCAATTCGCCAACGGCACGCTGACGGTGTGGGACGTCCTGACCTCTCGCATGGTACTTGCATGTACAACATGATCGAGACACCCGCGACATGGTTTGGTAGATGCCCGTGGTGTCCGAGCCAAGTCGTGCGAAGAAACGAATCGGCAAAGCGCTCTTTGCTCTCTCGTACGCCGTTCGACTTTGCCGAAGGAGGTGAAACTCATGGTCGAAGTAGAGCGGACATTTCCCGCACGTGTCGACCGTCCATTGCGATCGCTGGCGCATCGCCCAAGCCCCTCGCGATTCATTCAATATGGTACGCGTCTCGAGCGAATTGGAGCGCGTCACGACGACCGTAGCGGGCCGCTGACAACCAAGGCAAAGGACGAATCCGCCGCCGTCGAGTCTTTGCTGGCAGGAGTGGTCTAGTGTGCTGCTTAGCCCTGTGAAAGTAATTGTGCACTACTTTGCATTGTGCAAATCAAGTCAAAGCGGGATCGCCATCCACGGCGAACTCGGGACACACGAGGCATGTTAAAATGCTTGATCCAGCGATTCGGCAACGTGGCAGGAGGCGTACGTGATGAAGCGTCTCTTTACTAGAGGACTGAGCGACCGTGAACTCGTGCGTTGCTACAGAGCGTTCCATGGACAAGTTGTTGGGCCGATCGCAATGGAATGGCAACCACCAGATCATCGGGCCACTTTCTCAAGCTCATCGCGGGAGAAACGACCATTCATGGACATGTCCCGTGCCGTCCACTCCAACGATGGACGTCGAGTCCACGGCGCAACATCGAAGGGGCGACGGCAGTGACAACGAGTACATCGGGGCGATTGTTTCGTGGCTGGCGATGGTCCTCGACACGCAAAACACCTCCACAGCGTGATGGGGGTCCAATGTCGTCATTCCAAACGCTGCAACGCTGGGAGAATTCGAGACGCCTTGGAACAGCGGAAAACAACCCACCGGAACGGATCGATTCAGTCGAGCGTATCTCGCGACGACGACGGATTTGTCGTTCAACAACGCGATGCCACCGTGGCGGTCGGCCACCACAACCGTCTAGCACGTGTTTCAGGACCACCACGATGAAGTCAGACGGGTGCGAACCGTGTCGTTGGCCCATGTAGAAGCTTGGTGATGCAGTAGCTCGTCGAGCCGGTGGAATGGAGTGGTGGGGTTTCTCAAGTCCCACGTAGAGCACGCACCGTCCTACCCATGGACGGCCGCTGTCATTGCTGTACATCGTCTTCGAATACCTCATAAAACGCAACGAATTTGGTCGAATCGTTCGGTGTAAACGTTGCCTTGACCACTGATTCAAGCCGCGACGGGTCTTCGAACACAATCGAGCGCCCGGCAGTGCGAAGATCCCACACCCGCACTGTTGCATCTTTGGATGAACTGACCACGACGTCGTCACCGTGCATTTCGACACTGCAAATGTTGCCCATCAGCACCACGTTGACCACACTTTTATAGACACGTGACCTTACCTGGTAATCGAATCAAAGTGGCCGACGGGCAGTGGCCGACTGGCGCGGGGAGGTACAGCGAGGTCGAGGATGCACAGCGAACCGTCGATGGACCCTGATACCGCTCGTGTTCCGTGGCTTGAGATCGCAGAAATGCTAAAGTTGTGGACTTGCTGGGCGGAAGTAGGGAGTTGCTCGTCCGTTCGAATTGTTCCGATCTCCATGCGTTGTACACTGCCTTGGGAAGTGCCGAGAAGGAGCAGTCTCGACTCGTCGACGAAATGCATGCAGCGCTACCACGTCATATCGTTTCGTTAAGGAACTGCAAGCCAGGATAGGAGAACTGTGCTTACAATGGTGGGCGTTGCCAAAAGCGCGAAAGGTGCAGCAAGCGCCACGCGAGTCCCATTGCGCCAATTCGAGTCCAACCTAGAGCCACGTAGCCGTGAAACACGTACAAAAGCAGAATGGGCGAGTCGTACTTGTGCAATGCGATGAATCGCTCCCTCCAGTCGGTGGAGGCCCCGCATACCCGAGTCACGAAAGGAGAGTCCCACTCGCGAATTCGCGGCCATCGATGGCACGTCATGTGCTGCCACTGTCGCTGACCAAGTTTCGAGTGATACACCAAGCGAAACCAATCGGTACAAACTGCCGCGACGGCGGCAAAGTCCTTGCTGTCTAAGCACGACCATATCTGCAGCAGTACGTAAGCGTCACCTGGCATCGTCCTCTCGGTCACGACGCCCAAGCGATGGTTGCGGTCATTTTCCACGTCTCCCAGGAGGTACCACAACCCTGCCCAGTAACTTTCGGGTTGAGCATCCGACACGATCGAATTGTGCCGCCGAGGACGTTCTCTCGCAGGCACCGTGGTTGACGAAGCAGTCGTGTCGTTGACGGCAACTAGTCCATTCTTCATCCTCACTCCCTCGACTTGACGGGACACCTCTTCTACTTGCGCGACGATCGCTTTCCATGCGTCTTGCTGGGATGGCGAGATGTATGGTGCCGAGACGGCGTACGTGTCGTTCCACATCTCCAATTCGAATTGGAGAGCCTGGATGGCGAGGGTGATGTCGTCCTTCGGCTGATGTGATGGTTCAGTCTGCGGACGAAGTAGGAATGGTTGATGCGTTAGGGATGAGCTCCGGCCTTCACTCCCCTGCTCGTCCATCCAGGACGCTCCATCGCTGTCGTCGCTATGCCAGTTCGTGTGCATGTTGGACCGCGCCAAACTTGAGCTTCCACATATCCTAATTAGGATCTTGCGTTGACAACCTAAATTTGGCGGATTTACCCAATTTACTGAATTTTTCCGAATTTCGGCAGTTGGATTGGACCGCCGATTGAACAAGGAGATGAAGCTGCTCAAGAGAAACATCAGTGAGAAGGATGGCACGGGCTCCGTGACCCTGCGCGCGGAGGAACCTGAAGATATGTGGCATGTATTCAACTTGATTCATAAAGGAGACGTGCTAAAGACGACCACCGTGCGCAAAGTCGTCAAGGAGGGCGCTACAGGGTCAACTTCCAGTCAGCGCCTTCGCATGAGCCTTGCTCTAGAAATCGACCACATCGACTTTGATCCGGCCAAATGCTTGCTTCGCATCAAGGGTATCAACGTCGAGGAAAACCCGCATGTTCGCGTACGTTGACTAGAGAGTCTCCATGTTGTCTCGACGATCCTTACTCGATGGTGTTCAGATGGGAGCGTCGCACACGACCGATCTCGAACTCAACAAGGACTTCACATTGAAGAAAAACTGCTGGGATCTCATGTCCATCGAGCGCATTGAGACCGCATGCAACGTAGCCAAGCAAGCCGATGTCGCAGCGGTGGATTTCCTCCAAGCTCACTCCATTGATCGTTTCTTACCTTCCCACTCGCTTAGGTCGTCATGCAAACTGGCCTTGCGCACCTGTGCTTGATCACAAGTCACATGACGGTCATCCGCGCCAAGATCGAGAGCAGCATTCCGCGCAAGCGCCCTGGGAACACATCGCATGCTAAGGGAGTTGAACGTTTCTACGACAACATCGTCCAGGTCTCCTCCACTACCCGTTGCGCCTTCATCTCGTCAACGTCGTGAATCATAGAGTCTGAAGCGCCATATCGACTTCAACTTGGTCAAATGCGTGCTTCTGGCGAGTCCTGGCTTCGTCAAGGACGATTTCCTCAAATACATGCTTGACTACGCCATCCGCACTGACGACAAGGTCATTCTCGAGAACAAGGCGCGCTTCATCCTCGTCCACGCGTCATCGGGGCACAAGCACGCCCTCGACGAAGTCCTGGCCGACCAGGTACAGTCATTTCATCTACTGCACCTGCTGCTCACTGCCGCCTCCAGAAAGTCAAGGTCCAGCTGGAGGACACAAAGGCTGCAGGGGACGTGAAGTGCCTTGACACGTTTTTTGAGATGCTGCACTCGGACCAAGACCGCGCTTACTACGGCTACAATGTACGTCCGAGGAAGATGGTAGTGACGTGGGAGGCTGATGGGAGGTACAGCATGTCGTTCGCGCGAACGACCAGAACGCGGTGGAAACTCTCTTGATCGCGGACTCGTTGTTCCGGTCCCAGGACGTGCAGACACGACGCAAGTACGTCACGCTGGTCGAGAAAGTTCGCGAGAACGGCGGCCTAGTTCGCGTCTTCAGCAGCTTGCATGTGTCGGGTGAGAAACTCGCCCAGTTGAGCGGGATCGCGGCGATTCTGCGAATGCCGTTACCCGAACTGGAAGAAGACGGCGACTCCGACGACGATAACGACATCGCAGCTGACGTTCTAGCGACCGCAGACAGCACAGTTGGCGACCTCGACGACCTCGAGTACATTTAACGGCCTAACAGCGACATTGCACCTCCTCCAGGCAATCATGCTGAGAACGACCGGCATGTACATGAGATCACGCGTGAACCTTTCATGCACTTGGACTGCTGCCAGATGCAAGAGAGACGGCAAGCATCGACTCACTTGGACTCGCGGTCTTATCACGCTCTCTCTCCCTAGGACGTCCGTCGGCCTCTGATTGAAAGTTGCCGAGTTGAACAAATCACCAAGGGAGTATTTTATCTATTGATAAGGGTAATCGAATATGGAGTTACAACTATTGAGTACACATTGTTTCCTGTCCAAGTGCACGTATTACATGTCATAGGTTATCAGGTGGTTGGGTGAAGATAGACATACATTCATTCCATCACGTCGATAATTTTGAAAGTCGCCCACCAGGTAATTTTCTCTTCAAAATGTCGTATTTGCACCATACAAATTTCTATATTCAAATTCGTGCTGTGGACGCAGTTTCGATACATTTTGGGAATTGTAGCTGCCATCCACCCAAAAGAAGACGACATGGCTTTGGTCAATTGTACTCCATAGTGAAATCAAGGCTAAATCACCACTCTTCGTCGGAACATCAAAATACAATGACCGGAGAACACCTTTTTTACCAGGGTTTTCCCAATTTCATTATTTGTCGGTTTTCATCAAGAGAGCGCTGGATGGCGCCGCACCAACAACCACCGCCGTCGTGCTACAACACTCACGCGCTGAGCCTCGAATACAGCACTATCGATGGAGACTTGTTTTTGGACGTGGGAGAGAGTGAGGCGTTTATACCAAGTTCCCCTGCGGACTCGTCGAAGGGGAGTAGTACCTGCTTCACCCCACTCTCGAACATCAACGCTTGGCCGCAATCCGCCGATACTCCCACGGTGATTCCGTGCGTATCCAAGAAGGGCGAAAAACGAAAGCAGCAGATTCGTGAAGCCTCCCGTCGCTGCCGCATCAAGCAAAAGGACGAAGTCGCGTACCTACGCCAACGCGTGCTCGAAATGGAACGAGTTCTGCGCGACCTCTCATCGACGCCCAAATCCACGAACACCGCATCCGAAGTAGAAATATCCTGTTTGCGACGGCATAACGAACAGCTGACTCATGCCCTTCAACGCACCACCAAGCAACTGCGGTTTATCCAAACGCTCATGCACGAAACCATTCAAACCGCGTCGAGTTCGTCCACCTTACCTCAAAATCCAGAATCAGCAGAATCCCTCGACGATACATCATCCAAATCGTCAGCGGGAATCCAGCCAGACCAAGTGAACTCAATGGCAAGAGTTGCCGCGACGGCGGCCGCGAGTTTGATGTCGTTTGTGGTCGAGAAAGGAGTTCAGGTAATGAGCATTAGCTCGTTCGACTGGGTCGGCGACATTTGGATGGAAGGTTCGCAAGTCCGCTTCGCCATGACCAAGTCTTTCTCGGGTATCGTAATACGATCCACGTCTCGCTGCAATACTCAACTTTTATGCAGGAGCGTTCTCGAGGAAGGACATGGCAGATCGTGTGTGGCAAGCGACCCAAATCTCGCGATGCGGCACTCCTAAGTACACATTGGTGACGCAGGAATGCGTGCTTTGTATCGATCCGTCTCGGCTCCGCGTCATGCGCCGCGTAGAATCGCTGATGGAGATGCGTGTCTTGGAGCATTGGTCCGTTGTGTTCCGCCACGAAATCGACGCTCATTCGACGCTTTTGGGGAGCCAATCGGTCGCCCCCCTCCGGCCCGTTCAATACACACTTGGGAAGGAACAGCAGGGACTGCTCCTCACGACCACAGACGATGCTGTTCACGCCGAGCTCCGCGGCATGTACGACTGCGTTGGAGTGCCCGAGACCGAAGTCGCCGCGCGTGTCTCCAAGGACATTCTGTCAGTTCTTGTGCTCGTGGAATCGGCGCTCATCGGCGCAGCGCTAGTCGCCAAACAGCGTCATGTGTAGATGCTGTCGTTCGCGGTTGGCTTTTGTCCCTGTCTTGAACGTCATGAAAGTGCTTCTTTGTGCAGTTGGCCTCATTTTTCGCGTTCTTCATGCAACCTGTCACACTCTTCCCCGCATGGTAACCACTCGTGCCACCATCACACATGAAACTTGATATGCCCCTGCCATCGTGTGGCAAGAGTTGTTCGCCGACCGAAAAGTGTGGCTCAGTCGTCGACATGGTGTGGGTCGAGGAAAAAATCTCATGTTTTGGTTTTTTGCCTAAAAACCAATTAAAAATTCCAAGCGATTCATTCCATGCATAACCCACAGCAAGGACCTTGAGTTTATATACTGTATACCTACCTCAAGTAAACAGTGTCGAAGTTTAGCCGAAGATTTCGGACTCGCCGCGCGCAATCCAACGTTGCCATCACGTCATAGAGACGCGCGTATGGCACGATCTCGGTATGACTACTTCATCGTGGCACGATGTACCAATCAATGGTTACTGCACCAGTCATTTCCTTCGTCGTCGAGATAGTTTTGGTGGACAATTCGTTCGAATGAAACGTTGCTAGCATGTGTCGGAGCGGCACAACCGACTGCTTATGCCACCGGTCGACGTCGTCGATTATCCTTCTGTTGAAGTAGGTAGGTATTGTAGCGTGTGGGTTTGTATACCAAAGCGGCGCCCCATGCCTCAGCAAACCCACGTGACGAAAGGAATTGACCAGATCGACAGCAAGTCATGTTTGCAATTTGACAGAGAATTTTTGAACTGTACACTATATATTCGCTCAAGAGGTTCTGAACGTATATTCGCCCCCGAATCGTATGCAAGACGTGAAGTCCAGCACATTGACCAGTAAACAAGCGACTCACGTTGCATACGTCAGTAGCGGTACCCACCAATCCTGTGGACGTCCCTGTCGTTGGCAGCCAGATCGAACTACCCATGGCACTGGACCAGTTGAGATCCGACGATGCACCAGTTGTAGACACCAACGGCCGATACAGCCCCCTCCCCCCGTTGGCAGTTTCTATCGAATACCCGAGTATCATCACCAAATAAAAAATCGATCTCGTTAACAATACATGACTTCATCTTTGTCGCTCGTGTGAGTGGGCTGGCGCCGCGCAGTTGATGCAGTTGCAGCCGTCGTTCCTAGCGTCGCATAATGCGTCGAACAGTACCCTCGCACCCGGGCAAACTTGGAGCATCCTTGGGATTTGCATCGTGTGCCTCCGCCATGCATGCGACAGAGACCACCAGTCTGGGAAGGGGTGGTGCAATGGACAATGTGGCACTTGCGACCTCCCCCGTGTCGGGTGCACAAACCTCCGTTCCTTGCGTACGATGTGCAGTTTTGCGACCGGCACCGCGAGTTGCGGGTCGATTGCGGCGACGACGTTGACGATGCATTCGAGCGTCGAGGAGCGGTGGCAAACACCAGGTTGTTTCTCGAACCACTTGACGAAGTAGACTCGCGCGACGTGGACGTCGTCGTGGGCTGTGCTCGCTCGGAAGTCGGTGGTGCTGAGCTGTCCTTGACACAAGCTGCTCGCAGTCGGTGGTGTATCAGGCACAACGACGCTTCCTTGGCATAGCGCCTACAGCTCGGCTGGCAGCAATGGGACGGCAGTCCGTGATGCGTGCGTTGGCCTGGGCTGAGTGTGGAGGGGGCGTCAGTCGAGTGCATGTGCAGGTGGAGCCTGCCTAGCTGTCGCTAATGGTGGTGGTATGTTGCAAAGTGGATCGATTTGCTTTCCATCACGTCAGAGTGGCCGTATATCAGCGGCGACAACCACTTCAAAATCCAGGTGATGTGAGGTTCGTGCGCGGCGTTTCGACCATTGCTTCGAACTTCGAGGTGAAAGCAGCGAGTGAAGGGCGAGCTCGCGCCAAGGGATTCAGAGCCTGCACTTCCACGCTCCACAACTCTTGTCCGTGTGGGCTAGCGTTGCCCACTGTTGGCTGTGAGAAGATTTGCCGCTAATTCTTGGTGACGCGGTTTAGCTCATTGCAGAGGACTGCACATGGTACGCCATCAAATCTCGACCCGCTACCCAATTTCGTCTGTCCTGAAGATGTCCATAAAACAATATATGTACCTGCAAATGTCGAATACCAGTTCGATCATCGTCCGGATACGTACTCAAATTTGCCTTATTAAGTGCGTCCGGATTGTGCGGTTTGAGCGTGCATCGAAGCATACCGTGTGAGCTATTCCTCTCGTCGGGACAAGCGGCAGGTAGACTGTAAGGCCGAGCCGTTCCCAGACGAGGCCTACATGCTTGACATGTTCAACTGATGTGAGCAAATTGTTTGGATCTGCAGGAGTACAATACCAGCAGCCATGGAATTGCTCCAACATAGCTGCATACTTGCCTCGAAAGTAGAGGAATTCCCCAGCTGCAGGAGGCGTGCTCCAGCAGAACGTCCAAAGCAAGTCGTTTCGAAACAAAACCAGCAATTTCCTGATATCAGTACAGCGAGTCTCTGCTGATGGCTCGTCTGGGGTTGGCAAGGGCCTAACCAACTATCTGCCACTCTTCCCGACGGTGTTCGATGACAAAAGAGTTGTATCCACGCCCTTCTCTGGCCATGCTGGCGGAGAGGGTGATGTAC